TATTACAAATAGTGCTGTTATGAACATGGTTGAACAGATGTCCTTGTATGACTGTGCTTCTTTTGGGTATATGCCCAAGAGTGGAATTGCTAGATCTTGTGGTAGACTGATTCTCATTTTCCTGAGGAGTCGCCATACTGATTTCCAAATGACTAGGAATGTTGAACACTTTCTTATGTGTCTTTCAGCCATTTTAGATTCCTCTATTAAGAATTGTCTATCTAGTTCTGTACCCCACTTTTTAATTGGATTGTTTGGTGTTTTGGAGACTAGCTTCTTGAGTTCTTAGTATATTTTGGAGATCAGCCCTCTGTCAGATGTGGGGTTGGTGATTATCTTTTCCCAACCTCAACATAAATCCAGCTACACTGAACCTATTAGAAGACAAGGTGGGAAATACCTTTGAATTAATTGGTACAGGATACTGCTTCCTGAACATTACACCAGTAGCACAGACACTGAGATCAACAATTGATAAATGGGACCTCCTGAAACTGAGAAGCTTCTGTAAGGCAAAGGACACAATCAGCAAGACAAAACGGAGCTAGCTCTTGTAGACAAGGCTCGTCTCCAACTCACAGAGATCCACCTGCCTCTGCCTCCCGAGTGTTGAGACTAAAGGCGTGCACCATCACCACCACCCGTCTCAAACTATTCATTCTTAATGAATCAGTTCTATAACAGCTAAGCCAAAATATTATAATAGTAGAAGAAACTAACTCTGGAGTTTGGAATTATAAATAGCCTTCTTAAAACTGGCTTTCTAAAAATAGGATTTGTGAGCAGGTAATTTCAGTCAGGGTAGCTGGTTGCAGTAAAGCGAGCTTAGCTTTAACATTTAGGGGATTTGAGCCCAGGGTTCAACTAATCTACTTTATTAGAAACTTCCACTGGAGTTCAGCTGTATCACCCAAATTAGATTTCTATGCGTATTTAAAAACTGTGTGGCAGCATATCTTAACTATGCCTAAAATGCAAGTTGATACTACTTTTAAATGAGAAAAACAGTACTTGAAGTGCCTGAAGTAGCTTCAAGAGACAAGTATACATATGGTGGTAACAGCTTTGGGAACAGTTAAATGCATGCATGTTCAATCAGTTTGTTGGTGTGAGGGTATCAATAAGAGGATTCTCCCTACTTAATGCTGTTAGAAGCCACCACAAAGGTAGTGACAGGGAATCCAGTTAGGTCTGTCCTTTGATTCAAAGGAAAGTGAAATGACACCCAGGTTTGTTTACCACTAAGTGTCCTCTCCTCCTATTTTCTTGAAAAAGTAATCTATCGACATATCTGACAAGAGAAGGAAAGAGCTCTAATATCTAAAGATGGATACTCCTGCTGATATACATGAAATCTGGATATTTCACTCTTTGTGCACCAAGGTGTCTTTTTTTGTTCTGAGATATCTGAATTATATAAACTAAGATTGCTATTAAAGAAGGCAGGAGGCAATTTAAGAAGTGCCCTATCTCCCTGTGGCAAAAGCTTTGCAGCTAAGCAAAAATTTATGTAGATAAATTGCAGCTGTCAGAGTGTCCACTGCACTTCATGGGGTATGTCACTAACTTTGCGTTTCTCACTTATGGGTGTTCGTGTGTGGACTTCTATTTGAAAAAGAAAGCACCAAGTATTTGGAGATGTTCCCTAAAGTGCCACAGCTTAGCCTAAGTAGTATTAAACAAAATCAAGGGTGATAATAGAATCATAGTTACTATTACATATACCTATCTTTTCCCCCAAAACCTGTATGCATCTTTTGTTTTGCTTTGCTTTTGTTAGCCATGTTCTTACCATGTAGCTCAGGCTGTCCTCAGACTTAGTATAGTATCTTCCTGCCTCCACCACCTGAATGTTGGTATTACAGCTATGTGCTACTCTGCCAGATCATCTATATCAATTGTAGGTGGGACAGACTGTCAGGGAAACACACCATTATTTGAGTGAACTAAGTTTCAAAACAAAAAAGTATCAAAAATGGAAAGGGGGGATTCAAAGCGTAAGAAAGTACATATTAGCAAAGGTGTGGAAGAGTGGTATGAAAACATGGTCTTCACACTCAGGACTACAGCATACAGAACACTCGTGGGACAGACACATGGTCACAAAGACAGAGCCATGCAAGCATTGATTCTAACCCTAGTTTCCTGTTTTATCCATCTGCTATTGCCACAAAAGATTTTGCTTTAAAATTTAGTGATTGACCCAAAGATAAAAGCACCATAGAAGATATGCAAAAGGTAAAATGACAGAGATTGAAGCATTCCATTTCATTCCACAGTAAGTGGAAAGCTGTAAGAACAAAGACTGTGAAACAATCAGTGAAAAAATGAAATGTCTTCCCTGTCAATAGTTACTTGAAATAAAGGCAGAGTGGATGAAGGAATTCAAAATAAAGTGCAATATTTCTTAGTACTGTAGACACATAAGGTAATGACAAGCATATTTTCATACTTGCTACAAATACAGCAGAGACAAGAACATCAAAACAGTAACAGTGGATTTGAGCAAGCATTAGCCCAGAAGGACCTAGAGACATGTGTTGTGGACCATACCACCCAACAGTGTAGAATACATGTTGTTCTGAAACACGTATATAACATTCTATAATACAGATCACATTAGACCAAAATTTTAAAAAAAGTCTTCTTGCCATTCCCACACCCCAAAATTTTTATATTTCAAGGAATCTAATTCAAGGTCAGTAGGAGAAAGGAAGTAATACTGATTAGAACATCTTGATGTATGTGGTGTTCCCCTTGGGCTCAGGACTTTAAGCACTTGTTTCCCAGTTGGTGGTGCAGTTTGAACAGTTATGGAACTTTTAGTCTGGGACCTTTGCTGGAGGAAGTGTATCATTAAGGCTTGAATCTGAGAGCCACTAACCCCAGCCCACTCCCAGGTCTTGCTCCCTGCTTCCTATGTGTGATCCAGATGTGGTAGCTCTAGAACCTTCTGCTCTGGTCATCTCCTCTCATGGACTCTCCTTCTGTTACTGCAAATCAAAATAAATTCTTCTGTAAGTTGCTTTTTTGCTCGTGGTATTCTACCACACCTGCAGAAAAGTAAATAATGCTGTGTAGAATTAACAGAGTAGAGGACATGGGAGAATGTGTGATGGTGATTAGTCCCTGCTGGGGAGGGAAGAGAAAGGGGAGAGACCAATCAAAGGGTCCAGAGTTGCATTTGGACAGTGCAGGAATGCACCTTGATGTGTTCACAGAACAGTGCCTATAACAATTAATAATACTGTGCATTTCAGAATTGCTGAGAGCAGGGCGTCAGTGGTGCACACCTTTAATCCCAGCACTCAGGAGGCAGAGGCAAGCGGATCTCTGTGAGTTCGAGGCCAGCCTGGTCTACAGAGTGAGGGCCAGGATAGGCTCCAAAGCTACACAGAGAAACCTGTCTCAAGAAACAAACAAACAAAATGTTGCTGAGAGCCTTAAATATCTTAGCAAGAAAGTATGTGTGGTGGTAGATATGTTGTTAGCTGGGTTTATTCTGCAATGTAAATCTGTATCTCACCATAACATGGCATATGTCTCATCAACATCGAAGTTGCTAACTTGGTATAAAGCCTCCCCTGTAGAGTTACAGCTGAGAAAGATTTGGCTGCTCTGAAGCTGGACCTATTTCCATAGCACCTGGTGTGTAGTCTTCTCGGGGCAGTGTAGTCCTAGAAAGAAAAAAAGAAAGAAAGAGAGCTATACTGCAGCTTGGAAAATGGTAGGTTTTCTGTTTGGTTGCTTGTTTACTTACTTTATTTTGTGGCCATTTGTTAATGATATTCTAAATGAGGGTGTTTTTGGCTAGACAAAAAAAGCTAGCTTTTAGCTCCTTTTAGGACCACTGATGGGAACACAAACCCTTCACAGTCCTAACTCCTGAGTTCCAGGACACATACTTTGCTTAGACAGCCTATGACCCAATCCCAAGCCTAGATATATAGAGTAGCCAACTTCCCTCCTGAGTTTTCCCATACATAAGGATTTCTGTTGCCTTGTTGGAAAGGCCTAGCCTATATATACACATGGCCCTTGTTTTTCTTCTCAACCACAGCTCTAAAGCATCTTATAACTGACTGAAAGAGTGCTGAAATCTTCCTGGGAAATGGGAATTTGAGAATTAACAGTATTGGTGTCACATCAGACATATTACCAATGACATACAATCTAAGAAAAGTTACTCCTGCCAGGTGGTGGTGGTGCATGCCTTTAATTTCAGCTCTGGGGAAGCAGAGGCAGGTGGATCTCTGTGAGTTAGAGACCAGTCTGGTCTACAAAGAGCTAGTTCCAGGACAACCTCCAAAGCCACAGAGAAATCCTGTCTGGAAAAACAGAAAGACAGAAAGACAGAAAGAAAGAAAGAAAGAAAGAAAGAAAGAAAGAAAGAAAGAAAGAAAGAAAGAAAGAAAGAGGGAGGGAGGACGGGAAAGAGGGAGGGAGGGATAATAATAATAATAATAACAATAATAATGATGATGATAATAGTAATAAAGGGCCTCCAAAATTGGTGTCTAATCTAAACACTGAGTAATAATCATAACTTGTTTTTAGTCTGTGTAAGTATCTTTTCATAGAGTTTTATCAATGCCAGGATGTTGCTATAGAGTGGCTATGTAGATCACAATTCATTTTTTTCCATCTAATTCAGTTGTCCTAACACATGTGAGAGATGGCGGTTAAGTTTGCTGCTGTCCTGAAGATCAGACTATGACAGCCAAATAAAATACTATTTATCCAATCACGATATCTGGAATAATCTAGATGGATAGAAAGGGCATGTATTTAAAAAGATATAACAATATAAATTATCCAGAATAGTATATTTTAAAAATACATATGTTTATCAAATGGCTGTGTACTCTGTATCTCTCAAACTGCTTTGGGGTAGAAAGGGAACAACATAGATTTTTTTTCTCCATCTTAGAATCATGCAGGACAAAAAAAATAGAAAATAAATAGGATAAAAACATCACAATTCCCACATAATTCATCAATCCAAAGACAACTGCTGCCTTTTAATGTTGCTTATTTTGGCCTTTGGATTGAGTGGTTGGTTGGTTGACAGATAGACTTGGTTCCCTAGTTGGAAAACAAGCTCCTATATTTAACACCTCCGACTTTAAGACTGCGTGAGGTTTGGAGTTTTTCTGTCCCATACTTTCTGTCGTGTATTTAAGGACTACTTTTATACCCCTGCTCTGTAGCAGGTGTGCCTTGAGATGCTGAGGGTCCTGGACTTAAGAAACTGAGCCGTGGACTGTGCTGTTGGCCTGCATCAAATTCGTCCGCTCATGCACTACCGCTGTCACCAGTAAAGCTGTCCTTGTGCCGGGTGTGAGCTTTTTACTCACATGTGGCTTTATTTACAATCTTGACTTAAAAATCCTCGTGTTGCTTTTATCTTACATAATTGTATTTGTAGCATTGTATGTGTGTGTATGTATGCATACAACTTTAGTGAAGTTTAACTCTCGTACCATAAAACTCGCTTTTATAGGGCTGTGGCTTATGACTTAAATCTTTAAGATCGTTTTGAGTCTAGCCTCTGTTTCTTTCATTTTGCTTTCCTTGTATTATCTGTGTACAGATAAGATGAACAAAGTTGAATGAGATTGCCCAAGGACAAAATCTCACATCACTCAAGGCTGTCTCAAAGACCTGCCTGTAGATCCCCATCGGGGAAATACTCACCACCTCCTCGTTCATCTGCTGTGTGATGCACATGTCACCAAGTTAACACTCAAAGTGAAGCTCTCATCTTTGAAAAGAAAAACTTCACTCTTGAGGACAATGAGTTAGTTGGACAGTCTTTCAATAAGCTAGTCCAGCAAAGGGCTACAGTGTTATCTGTGCCCGGAGCCGTTTCCTTGTTTCTAACATGCAATACCACTTTCCCCTTTGGAGACTGTGGGAGCCAAGAAAGTCTCAGGTCACAGATATCAAAGCATATTCTCCAGGCATAAATAACGTCTTTGCTTTGCAGAGCTGGGAAGTGCGTGTGGTTATTGAATTCAGCACTTTCTATTGATGTGAACTTCCCAGTGCTCAGCTTTTCCATCTTCCTGTCTTTTAAAGTGTCCACACTTTGCACTTCTGCTTTTCCAGCACCTTTCTCTGCTCTGTGGGGTTGTGAACATGTCCCCTGTCTAGGCAGGGTGGACCTCATCTGTCAGGAGAGCCTCACTTAGCTTTCATGGGAACTTCAGCACACTCTCCAGATTCCACAATGGCATCCAGAAGCATGTTACTTGCATGTATGCAAACTGCTTTGAATAGTTTATCTTCCCTCAACATCTCAGTTTGTGTTCTCTTTACCTAACGAGATATTTTGCCTGTGTCACATTTTGAGCCAGAAATTCCCTGGGTGTATTTGCTTCCTGTGCTGGACTGTTCTAGAAATCCTTCATGTCCTCAATGTGGACTACTACTCTATCCTATTACCCTTTCATTAAGGAAAGAAGTCTTCTAATTGCTAAGCAAGTTCTTGATATGATGTTTTGACACAATAGTGCCTGTTTTCGGGGACACTTCCTATGTACCTGACACTGTTGAAGTGGAATGGAAAGAGGGCCCAGTGCTTTTACTTGGGTAGGTATTTCCTAGGTGCTCTGTTAGAGCCTAGAACGAACTCCCATGTTCCCACTATAGTCCTCTCCCTTGGCTCCGCTGCTGAAATTTAAGGAGTCCCTCTCCTTACCCTTTGTATTGACACCTATTGTTCCTCCAGCTGTCTCTGTCTGCTCTGTCCAGCACAAATCAATGCAGTGAGAGGAAACAGTGCAGTAAATCTACATTCTTATTCCCTTTGTTTTCTTCAACTCTGTAATTAGACTTTACTTCTCCAGAGTAGCAGATTTCACATTCAAACACCAGGAAGTCAAATCTATACACATAAATAATAGGAAACAGAAAACTCAACTGCTCAACTCCTGCCACAGACTGATGTCATCCAACTGTGATAAAGGCAAATGCTGGAGATACCAAATAACCCCGTAAGTCTTCCTTTTTAAAGACAGATGGGCTGTGTGGTCGAAATGAAAGATGAAGTCACATAACCAGGCAGAGTCCTCTGGAGGACTCCAAGGTTTGGTTTTTTTGTTTTGTTTCATTTTGTTTTTTAAAGGCCCTACCTGCTTTTAAAGCAGACCACATCTCCCAACAGAAATAATTACCTGAGTATTTTTAAGACCTTATCCATTAGGTTTACTCCATGTATGCAGGCACTGCTTTAGGGGGTAGAAAATAGTGATACCCAGCATACAACAGAGAGTAGTTTATGTTTCTGGATTCATGTTAAGGACAGTCAGGATATTTTGATAGGGAACAGTGATGCTGTCTCAGAGGGAGGAGGAAGAACAGGTGTGGGTTCTGCGGGGGATAACGTACCCTCTGTGAATCTGGATTTCCCAAACAGGAATGATATCCCACCGTGTCTTCGTCAGCTTGCAGTGAGGGTGATTCTAGTAAAGCTACAAGTCAGTGCTTAACTTGCTCATTTTTGAAGCTAAGAAGCCAAGAAGTATCAGGTTCTCCTTCATGTTCGATCACAATATCAGACAATTAGAATACACATTATCTTTGGTGAAAACAAAGCCCTTCCTTGGTGATCTTAGTACAGTTTAATTGAGTCCTCAGTGTGGAACTTGCATTGCAGCAGATGGGGGAACGGTTATGGGGAGTGAAGAGTAGAGAAGGAATTACAACAGTTAGGCTCTGAAATGAGGAAGAGACAGATAGCAGAGGCCCTGGTATAGGGCCCTAAGTGAAAGAGTTTAGGGTGTGAGAACTCTGAACGCACTAACTGCAATGAGAGATGGGTACACCTGATGACACAGCAAAGAGTGACCAATAATCAAAGTCACAGGCAGACTGGGGACAGCAGACCTCCAGAGCATTGGAGAGCAGAAGTCAGCTTTGCTGTTACATACAGCACAAGAGGCAGCAGGAATACAGAAGCATAAGATTTGGACCTTAAAAATAAACAAGCACCATGTTTGAAGTTGAATGTTTTCTCTTTTTCTCATTTATGTATCTCTACACATAAAGACCACCACCACCCCCAGAAAGGTCAGCGCTCGTATTCAAGATTCACTTTTGCAGACTCCAAGTACAAAGAGGAGTGGCATAACTTTCTAGTGGGAAATCTGCTGGCAAGTAGAGACTGTGAGCAGGCTCTTCAGGGGGGTTGCAGGCAGGGGTGGGTCCCAGGAGCACAGTGCATTTCTATTATTGATCCTAAATTAGGAAGCTGGGGGGGGGGGAATAGGGAAGCTATTCATTAGTCAAGCCTGAGCCAGTTGAAGCTGATGATTAGTGAAGTTATTGTTTGGCTTCCTGAATTAATAGAAATAGCAGTCTACCTTCCAGCATGGGTGCTGACAACAGGCTAGTGTCCTGGGCTAGTTCTCATAGATTTTAGGTCATTGGTTTCTGCAGCCTGGGTCAGAGTCTTCCTGCCCTAAGATGCTGCCTTTGGCTGTGTACATGCTCTATGCTCACCACTTTGTTCTGGTGGAAACGCAAAGAGATTTTACTTTCAGAGTCCAGTGTGGCTTTAGTCCAGGGAAGACGGCAGGGACTCCGTGTCTAATGGGCCCACAGAGATAGGGGATTTGTGGGAATAATCTCAGAAACTAAAATTAAGTTGAATGTCTCTTGCCTCATGGAGGGC